GGACCCGGGGGAGCCGCGTGCGGGCCGCGGGAACGAGGGGCTGCCGCCTGCGCGCGCAGCTGGTGCCGGTGCGCGCTCTTGGCCTGGGCCACAGCTCCAACGAGCTGGTGCGTTTCCGCTTCTGCAGCGGCTCTTGCCGCCGCGCGCGCTCGGCGCACGACCTCAGCCTGGCTAGCCTGCTGAGCACCAGGGTCCTGCGGCTGCCTGCGGGCTCCCGGCCCGTCAGCCAGCCCTGCTGTCGACCTACGAGCTATGAGGCGGTCTCATTCATGGACGTTAACAGCACCTGGAGGACCGTGGACCGCCTCTCAGCCACCGCCTGCGGCTGTCTGGTCTGAGGGCTCGCCAAAGGGTTTGCGAACTGGTACGCATGGATCTTCCTGCCTGGAGCCCTCCCGTAGGGGACGCACTAGCCTCCCCTCAGGGACCTCAACCAAAGATGGAAGCCTCTGGGGTGACGCCTCAGCGGAGTGTTGAACATCAACCATGAAAAGATGGACCCAAGACAGGACCAGCGGCCCCAGGACCTTCATCTTACGGATCCCATCATCACAGACACCAGAGATCTCGGCTGTAGAAATCCCTTAGCACCCGCTCCTCAGAATTTGGCTCTGATCAGGCCACACACCTGGGACCCTCTCCTTTGGAGAAGCCAGCTGTGTCTGAGGCCCCAGCCCAAGTCCTGGAGAATGAAGTTTGAAGGAGACATTGCAGTGGCGTGGCTGAAAATGCCTGTGATAGATAGCGCTGGCCTTGTACTCTTTTGTAGGAGCTGGAACCCTATTTATTATTTCTAAGTTATTTATTTACTTCTGTGGTTTGTCAAATTCTTTTCTGGGCAGTGGGGGCTTGATGGGCAGAAAGAAGGGCCTTTATGCAGACATGTCCTGACCGTCCCACTCACACACTTCAGCTCCACTCAGGGATCACAGACCTCATTCCAGCCTTGGCCTGGTCCTCCCACTGCTAGCTCTGGCATGAGGGTCATGGAACACAGGCAGAATCGCGTGGCAGAGTGCATAGAGGCCAACTCACAACCTCTGCATAGTCCCCAGCACTTGACTTAGCCATGGGGAAAGAGACTTCAGAGGCATCTGTGGTGAAAGTCATACCCTCCAAACTGATTGAACCTCGATCTTTCCGCCTCCAACCTGATTGAACCTCGAAACTGATTCAAGATCCTCAGCCCTGGGTAGCCCTGGGTTCCCACCTGGCACAACTGTCGTTAAGTAGTGTCCTACCTTTGAAGAAACTCTGTTGAAAGCATCCTGATAGGTGCGTATACTGCCTCCACTTGCAGATGGGTCAGCGTGGGGAGCTCACTCTGCACGTTCTATGAGGCAGCCCAGGGCCAGAAGACATCTGTGGAAAGGCTGAGGGTATGGGAAGAGAGTGTTGGTTCAGGGGGATGATGCACAGGAAATGGCTGAGGGCCCTCAGAGGGACCTAAATCTTGGGTGACGACCAAGGACATGCATGTATACATTCAACAGATATTCATTAAGCACCCATTATATGACCAGTAGGTCCCTGGGTGGCACAGTTTGCCTAAACTACTAATTGAAAAGTTGGCAGTTTGAACCCACCCAGTGGTGCCACAGAGGAAAAGCCTGGCAATCTGCTTCCATAAAGACTACAGCCAAGAAAACCCTGTGGAGCAGTTATACTCTGTATCGCAGCAGGTCACCATGGATTGAAATTGACTTGGCTGCAATGTCAATTTGTTTGGATGTGTCAGTTATAATAGATACTGGATAGACACCAGAGATACAGAAGTGTAAGGGACATGATCCCTGCCCTTAAGAAACTTAAAGCATAGTAGGAGAGACAGACAATAAATAACTAATTACATAAATAATTATTTAAATTCAACTTGACAAGCGGTATGAAAAAGGACAGGAAGATGGTGGTAATAACTTGGGAAGGAAGAAGAGGTCAGTGCTGCCCCTGGCCTCTCATGTTGTCCCTGAGTCATCTCCAAAAAGTCAATGCAAAGGAAAAGATCAATGCAACCCTCCCCCCCCCCCCAAGTTTTTCTGCATGTTCTATGAAAATGTATTTCCTGAGTCCTGTGGATTTTTATAGGGCAGACCTATGTGGTATTCTTTTTTGGAAATAAGATGGGGACATGTCTTTGGAGGAACTCTGGGCACATCCACGGGCTTGTGATACATGGGTCTAGAGTTGAGGGAGGTCTGGATTGGAGGTAGACTTGGGAGCAGCGAGCACAGTGGATGAGAGCACCCAGGAAGAGATGCTGAGTTAGGACAAGGCTATGGTGGGACTCCTCAGGCATTGGACACTGTTGACTGAAATTCCTTCCAGACTTCTAAGTACCTGTCTGCTTTGGCACAGGTGCCCCCTTCACCCAGACTAGAAGAGGAGCTGGCAACAGCTCTGAGAGCTGGGCCAACTCTGGCTCAAGGTGGAGAAACGAGTCTGTGCTCCCACTTTTCTGTGTTCATGGGCTCTGTTCTGTATGCTCCCAAAGTTTTGGTGCCTTCATGCTGTCTCAAGCACCACTTGGTCCCCTCTTTCTGCCTCTAAACTGATTGAACTTCCAAACTGATTCAAGATCCTCAGTC